GGCTGGTGAGTGTTCTGTATGTTCTTACTGATGGCTGGTGAGTGTTCTGTATGTTCTTACTGATGGCTGGTGAGTGTTCTGTATGTTCTTACTGATGGCTGGTGAGTGTTCTGTATGTTCTTACTGATGGCTGGTGAGTGTTCTGTATGTTCTTACTGATGGCTGGTGAGTGTTCTGTGTGTTCTTACTGATGGCTGGTGAGTGTTCTTATGTTCTTACTGATGGCTGCTGAGTGTTCTGTATGTTCTTACTGATGGCGGGTGAGTGTTCTGTGTGTTCTTACTGATGGCTGGTGAGTGTTCTGCTGTTCTTGCTGTTGGATGGTGAGTGTTCTGTATGTTCTTACTGATGGCTGGTGAGTGTTCTGTATGTTCTTACTGATGGCTGGTGAGTGTTCTGCTGTTCTTGCTGTTGGATGGTGAGTGGGAGCAGGGGCTGTCGTCTCACGCGTTGAGGTAGCGATGTCTCGCGTCGCCGCAACCCATCGAGCCATTTCTTACTCCCATTTCTTGCCATTCTGCCTTACGAGCCATTTCTTACCGCCATTTCTTGCTGTTGGATGGTGAGTGGGAGCAGGGGCTGTCGTCTCACGCGCTGAGGTAGCGATGTCTCGCGTAGTTGCAACCTGTCAAGCATATACACTTATACAGCCATTTTTTGCTGTTGGCTGATGAGTAGGAGCAGTCTTGGCCCAGCCGTTAATGTATTAATTCTTCGTATTTCATCGACCATTTGAGCACCTACCAGCATTCTGTGTTTACCAGCGGGGGAATTGAATGATAGTTTTCAAACTTGTGCATTTCGTAGTATGTCTCATAATATGTAAAACCATAACTTATTAAAGTTATTTATCGTTGGATATATTTGAGATATGATTATTTACGGTCTTTGGACCACAGTGGTAGGCTGGAGCGTAGCTTTGTGATTGTCCTCTAGCGTCGTGAGGATTACCGACTTCCTTCCTCAAAGTGCCATGCTTCTATATCTTTTACGCAGTTCCATCGAAGAACAAAGTTAGAAATGACCCGCGGGTCACATGCAACTTTGCGTGCTTCGTAACTTTTGCATCGTTTTATGTTTTGCGGGATGTCGCGACGAGCACTCTTGTGTGTTTTCATGTGTTTTCATGTGTTTTCTTGTGTGTTTTCATGATCAGATCCTGCTGTGCAACAAGTTGGACGGAGAGAGCAAGACTCGCTACGTCGTCATCTGCCTGCCGCTGTACCTGTCTCTCTTCACGCTCATGGTCATGTCGTTTGGTTCCAAAGGAGGAAATCACTGTAAGTAACGCGACGACGGCATAGTCTTAGTCTTAGTAACTTACATCTACAATGTAAGTAGTTATATATACTATTACGTCTACAATATATAGTGTTCTTGTCAAATTTATTTTGGGTACCTTTGGTCTCCGATGGGTGCCTTCATTTGTTATAATATTGATATTTATATCATTATTATTATCACTATTATATATATAAATAACTAAATATATAATATTTATTTATATATATAAATTATAATAGTAATCATATATATATATTTTTTTATATAAACAATATAGTATTAATAATAATAATAACAACAATAACAACAGCAACAACAACAATGGTCTACAACAACAACGACCTACGCGCACGAGCGTTCACACCGGTCATCCTCCCTCTCTCCTCGCACGCAGGGTGGTTCGGCATCCGCAAGGACTTCTGCCAGTTCCTGCTCGGCGTCTGCCCACTGCTGCAGGAGTACGGCAACATCTCGTACACGATACAGCGCGACGAGCACGGCGATCGCGCGCCCGAGCACCGCGGCGGCGGCGGTCGAGGACGAGGACGAGGCTCGGCGGGGATGCAGAAATCCGACAGCTCGTCGTCGACGAAGGGTCTCATCGCCGTCGAGCCAGAGTTCCGACCCGTCGTGCCGGTCGTCTCGATCGAGACGCCGGACTAGAGACGAGACGCCGGACTAGAGACGAGACGCCGGACTAGAGACGAGACGCCGGACTAGAGACGAGACGCCGGACTAGAGACGACGCCTGCGCCGCCGCTAGGTTTGCTGGCCGGGCGTCGCCGTGGAGACCGGCAAGCCGCTGTCGTCACGGAAACCGCTGGTACGCGGACATTACTAGAGGCCGCGGCGCGAGCTTCTTACCTTCTGTGACGAGTGTACCTCTCCGCTGTGCAATGTGCACGGGCGAATAAAGGTGAGATCCCCATGCGGCAATCTAAGGCGTTCTGTGGCGTACTAGACACGCCCTTGTAGCCATATATACGTAAGTGGGGGTAAGTTCGTCACAGGGGGGTAAAGAGCTCACGCTGTGGCTTCTAGCAACGTCTGTGTCCTAGTGGTTTCTGTGACGACAGCGGCTTGCCGGTCTCCGTGGAGACGCTGCGCTAGCAACCCTAGCGGCCTGGCCTGGTGGTTGCCTTGGAGACGCCAGACTAGCATCGATGGCAGCCAAGTCGTCTCCATGGCGACGCCGGACCAGCGCTGGTTGCTGCCCGGCAGTCTCCATGGAGACGAGTGAGAACGGATCGTTGATCGTCAGAGCGGATCTCGTGAAAAGAGACGAGTTGTCGACTGGGAGAGCGTCAGCCGCTGATCTGTATGTAATAACTGGATGCCGTGTCGTGGGTGGGTGTGGGATGTCTCGCCATATAGGTCGGACCAAACGCCAAGTTCCTAGCAGGGATTGGCAATGAGAAGGAGGGGGCATTGTTCTAATGCACAAGGTTGTACAGGTAGGTCCCGTTTTATGACAGAGTTAGGTTCTAGTAAAACAGCGTCGTAAAATGAAAAGTTGTGAAACGAAACCAAATTATAATCCAATTAAATGCTATCATTCCACCCACAATGCACCATGAAAAACAAAAGAAGCGCATATTGCGTGTTTGGACTCGCAGGCGTTGCTGCAATGTGTTATTGAGTTGCGACACTTTTTTTTTGTTATTTACAATTTTTTAGGTAATTTTGAAAACGTCGTTAATGTGAAAAGTCGTAAAATGGACCATCGTAAAACGGGACCTACCTGTATTATCAAGCAATTCGCAGTAAGCACGTTGGTGATAGGCGCTATCCAGCAAACAATCCGGTTAGTACATATCGATCAGTGGCTGGTAGGCAATAGTGCAGTGTGGTGTACGGGAATTTTGGAGTAGCAACGCAACTGCTGCAATGCAATACTAGTTTGAAAACGGTTGGAATATGCGTTTGTCGTGCTGCCGGTCCATATACGCAGATGCGAGGACGAAGGACGGGCCGGATTATCGACGTCTTCCCTGAGGTTTTCATCGGTGACCAAACCACGTGGCATCAAAGTCCAAATATCGAGATTTCATTCGGGTTTAAATGGCTTATGAGATTGTAACTTATCCGCACAGATTTAAGTGGGTGGGGGGTGGGGGTAGGGGGGGGGGCTATTTACACAGTGTTCTAGTGATGCGTATGATCCGTTAAGGTCTCTCAATGATTGAAGATATAGAACAGTTGTACTGGTGCAGAATTACTCTAATATTTGTGGATGTTAGTTGGAAGTTAGCAGAATTTCCCAATTGTAATTTTTACTTGGTTAAATCCCTTACTTTAGAATTACAATGATGAAATATTTATTATTTCTTTCGATAGTTGTCACGTTATGATATGAAGATAGTCTGCAGTTGCTGCTGGTGATTGTAGTGGTTTATATGTCTATAGTAAGTACTAAGATTATTTAATTTTTATGTACAGATGTAAATATCGTTTTCCACTTATGTTGATGTGATACAAAATTTATATTTAGAAAATAGAGTCAAATTGATTTATAGGTATCGTGTGCAAAAATAGCTTTGGAAGGTATTATTGAAATTAATGCTTGCGCTAAAACATCATAGGTGTAACACCATCATATCTAGCCATATCAGTTTAGCCCCTCTCGTTCCTGCTACATGTAAGTATCTGTAGTGGAAACAAAGGGACTACACTGGCACA